TTGGGTCACAGATCAACCTGATAGTCTTTCGTTTTATGGACGATAACATTCATAGTCCCCCCCTTTTTTTTTGGATGATACCAGTTCGTGAGACCATATCATATATTGGATCGTAGAAAAAAAAATGGTTATTTCGTGGTCGATGCGCACTAAAAGTGGGATCGGATCGTAAATTCTTGCCAACCCAAAAAAGTGTTGTCGCTCGTCTCCGTCCGGCTAAGATGTTATGATCGTCGGGTTATGTGTCCTCCACGGTTGTCGGGAAAAAACCCATAGACCGTGCTAAAATACGGACTTGGAGCTGAGGGGAGAAACGGCTTTGACGGTTTGTCGGATCAACCCTACTCACGAGATCATGTCTCCAATGGTCTTTTAGTGGTAACTAGTTATCCTGTGAAGTCATTTCTCTTCTACATCTTGGGCAAAGATTTTCACCTCGAGCGGGCGTATTGTAAAGTCCAAAAAAAAAAACCAAAAAGGAAGAGGCGCTTGGCCAAGGATCGGTATCCTCTCAGATAGCTTGATATGGGTGTCAAATCTCTAAAAGCACTTATTTCATAGGTCACTGGAGATGAATTTCTGGTGAATTTGTGGCCCTTCATTTGAACATCTCAAATGGGACTTAGGGGAGGCAGTACACGTGAATATCTTCACTGCCGAATGCCACTTGGTGAATTTCTGTTATGTCTTCACCAGACTCTGTTGTTGAATACCTCTTAACCATGTTGTGATATTCTCAGTGGGACGCGTCCCGTAAAAAAAAAGCACTGTCTAGGGTGTCTGCGTAATTCATCCTGCACTCCTAGTTGCCGTAAAAAGGCAACCAGGACTCCCAAAAACAACCGGTCCTGGTTTGTTCCTGTATTAAAATCAACCAGGTCAGATTCAGAAACCATGCTCCCTACGGAGTACTTCGATCGTGTATGATTCATCATAGCGCACTACAGCCGGGCTAGTGCAACCAGTTGCGATTCTGATAGTTCAGATCAAAAGGCGCCGAGACATCGCGGGGAAATCCGGTGCCCCTGATAAATGCCCTAGGTACATTTATTTGTCGTATGATGTGCGATGTACTCCGTACACTGTAATGTAGTCGATGGATTTCAGCCTCTGATCCATTGTGATCAATCTCATCGGGGTTCAACAGTATGATATTTCTGACTTGCACCTGGTCCCTCCCAGCACCCCGTTATCGTGCAGGCGGAGAATCTTCCAATCGCAGAGAGATCTTTACTGCATTCATGTTCGGCAGATGGAAGTGACCTACCGTGCATGCACTAAATCTCCAGTGCGCACGGAATGCATCGCAGAGTGGCTGAAATAGTAAGATCCAGCTGGTACATTGAGCTATCGCAATGCAGTGACTACTGTGTAGATCGATTCCACGTAGCGGTTGATTTCGGACCCGTCACTAAGTCCATTGTGCCATAATGCACTTTTGCACATTCTCTTTTTTAGGAAATTTTTTTTTTGGAAGAAAAAAGCAGTGCCTCCTGAATATGGCCAACGCATGACCTGATTCTGGTGCACAGGGAGTCAAATATGTATCAGACTCGGGATTTGCTCTTGCTTATTTGCATGGAAAAGTTTATCACAAAATCTCTTCGAGGCTGATCGAGGTGATTCCCTCAAGCGCACGGGGTGCTCCAGTACATCGTACAGCCATGGTAAAGCCAAGAACTGTCGGAGATAACCACGTTGGATATTGGGAAGATCATGAGGCGATTGCCTCTCACCGTTTTCGGATCTTCAACATTCAGACCTTGGGCCGACCGTTGGACCATGCGATGTATATCGTACAGCATTATGGGTCTCCCCCTTGAGTCTGTGCGCCGAAGAGCGATCAAGGAGGTGAACGGGGCCATAACAGCTGCTCTGCTGTGCCACGCTCGAGACTAGGGATTAACCAGACGATTGTGATTTCCAGTACTCCTTATTTTGCACGGAGTAAATTGGACAAGATTTGTCTCCCGGCGTTTGAACGGGAAATATGACGTCCAATGTGGTGGGTCTGTGGCCAACAAACTTAAAGCTCCAGAAAATAGATTTTCTGAATAGGAGAGCTTTGATCCTTCGGTGCTTTTGAGAGACCTGCACAGAATACGGAGTACGGAGTATGGGAAGTACTCCGTAGAAACTTCCAAGACACTATAGAGAAAACGCCAAACACTATCGAAGCCGGGCTTTTTCCGGGACTTTACGCAGGGCGCCTGGAAAGGCAACCGGCCCATCTGCCTCTCTTCTCTTCCCTTAAATCCAAGCCTCTCTCTCTCACCGTTCTAACCTTCACTGTACCACCAACATAGCTTTTATCTTGTCAAACGTCAGGGTCAAAAGACTGGGATGGGAGCAGCCCAGGCGATCTTGCCAATTAACGTCCCGTGTGCGATCTCGATCTAAAGCTTAAGTAACGTGTGTTGCAACACTCTTGCGATCCGATCCTTTTCGGCGGGTACTCAAGGGGGTAGCGTGCTCCGAGACTGACGAATTAATTTATTAATTTATTTGCCTTTTTGGTTCGCCTTTCCCGGGTTCTTTTTGTGTTTGGCTTTTTCTATTGTGATTTCACCAGCTCACGATCTTGGCTTGTAACGGCATTATGGCTCGGTGACGTAAACACCACCTAGTGGCCGGGTCTGTTTTTGATTGTTTGAATGGGTGGGAGAAAGAGACTAGAGTTACTTTAGGATAAGTATAGAGTATTTGTATAAGTAAGAAACAAGAATTATACAACACAAAAAATGAAATTAAGATTAATTAAAGATAGAATAAATTAAAGTCGAGTGAACCATGGAACGTTGTAATCCAGACCGCGTCGGGCACTTTCAGATCTGACTGCGCAACCTCAGCCACGTCTCTGATTCCCTCAGTTGCGATGGAAAGAGCCCCTCTGTGTCCCCATATCAGAGATCTCGAATTAGTGCCCCCCCCTTTGTGCATCTTGTGCTTCCCCCTTGTGACACGACCTGGTGTTGCATGTCCCCCAGACTCGATGCTTCATTTTTGTTGAGTTATTGGTTCTTCTACCCCAGGGGTTTGGGGCGTAATTTGCGCACAGGCTGCAGGTCAACAAACTCAAGAGAGCAAAGATCTTCCAAGGTTGCCTTCCAAGTGGCCTTGAACCCTGGACTATGTTGTACTGTGATACTAGAGCAACACCATGGATCTGACATCATGTCCTTCACTATTAATAAGCTCGGTCTAACCTCCAGGACTTTAGTCTAATTCACAACCCGAGACTGACATTTTTACCCACTCTAAATCGGAGATCTCTCTCATGTGACATGGATCCAGATACAGGTACTCACTCGTACATGATACTTGTCGTCAAGTCAATGCCAATCTAAAAATTACTCTTAGATTACTTTGCGCTATTTGTTACCTAATATTATAATAAATTGAGTCCAGGATACTGGAACATTGTGATGAGCTAGAACTATCGTCCGCTAGCTTCTCTTTTTGCTGGACCACTCTACCGGTATTCAACCGTCCCTTAGCACGTTTGGAATCGGCCGTTAATCTCGATCGATCCTAGGCTCTGGGGTGGGATAACGTTTCTTTGTGTTCTATTCGTTTTCCGACCATGAACTTCCTAATTCCTGTTTAATTTGTACTAACCGTGAGTGTCGAGAATAAATTGGATCGGCTGTGGGTCTTCACTATGTAGAAAGCATCATGTACGGAGTGCTAGTTACACAAATGTTGGAGGTTCCTGACCAGTGTCGCATTGTATTTCTGGATATCAGACACCGAGGACACCCTGCAGTTTCCAGAAGGAGGTGTATGTACTCCGTAATTACATACCTAATTAGATATGGATCACGGAGTACGATGCAGTTTGCACAGCCTCTACATAAAGAAGATTATCCGAATTACTTGGCTCCACTGAGAAATAAACACACTAAACATCTAAAAAGCCCTACTAGTGATAGGGTATGGTCTCGATGATCCGCAGTTGGTAATTTGCCTTGTAAAACCATGTTATGACGATCTGGCAATTTCCCACGTAATTTTTCCCCCTGTTCGGATCTCGATCTGTTTTATAATAATCTTTTTTTTTAACCATATTTCTACATTTCTTTATTTTGATTTCCTTTTTTTTTAATTTAATTATTTTTTGATGGTAAAGAAATTAAAAACAATTAAAAAAATTAAGTTCCTGTACTCCTCTCTAAGCTTCCCGTTTCCAATCTAAAGCCCGAAATGAAGTAGCCTCGATCCCCTTTGATTTTTGGTTTTTGGCTTTTCCCCTCTCTGAAGGTGTATCCTTTTATATTTATCCCCATTCCACCTCGTGCTTTCATATTTGGATTGACATTCCCATTTCCACGCTTTATATCCCTTGCGTTTGCGATCTTGACTCTTTTTTTTTAATTTCCTTTTCTTTGGTTTTGATCAAGATTTTATTTGGAGGGGTTTTATTTTTAATCTTCCTCTCTATCTCTCTCTTCCCCTCTCTCTATTTTTTCTTCCTAATTTTCATTGATTTCTACGTTGGAGAAAAAAAAAGAAAAAAGAACAAGAGAACAAGAAATTGAAGGAAAAAAAAGTGAAAGAGAAGGTAATTGCTGGTTAACTTCTTGGGTTACTTGGGCTCTATCTAAACGCCACAACTTCCAACCTTTGCCCCCCGGGATCTTTGGATCTTTGGATCTTCGGATCCGGGCCTCTTTTCCACCACTTTCGGCACGAACAGGTGGAACGCCTTTCCCTAGTCGCACGAGAGGCGATCTTTCGACCTTGAACTCTGTTTCCCTGAATTCCGTCTAGAAATATCGCACTTTATCTACTTTCAACGTGATGGGGTCTTTGGAAGCCGCACCTAGGCACAGGTTGGTCTTATGAGCTCACAGTCAATCTTTTCTATTGCTGACCAAGCTTTGATTCACAGAGACCCTTTGCCCGCGATAGGTTTCCTAGGAAAAGACGGATCAGGGTACACCTCCAGACACCCTTCGAGCGCCACCGCTTCTCCAACTCCTCTGATGAGTCCTAACATCATGTACTCCGGACAATCCCTACCTTACTCCTACGCGTCGAATGCACCGCCGGGGTACATCTCGTCGCCGGAGGCACGTCGCGCCCTTGAAGACGACAAAGAAAAACATACCTTAAGACAATCCCTCCCATCAATCCACGAGGCCCTCGGCAATGACAACCCTCTCCCTTATCCTGCATCTACCTCCGCTCCACCTCCACAATCCGCACACCCTGCACCGCCGTCACATCTCATCGGACGACCAAGCGCAGAAGGTCCAGCTGGACCACCGAATCCCTTTTCGAATGGACCACCGACGGGACCCTTGATGCGGGAACCCAATTTTCCCCATCAAGGTCAGTTACAGGATGCATCGCGCTCTAGTCTCGCCTCCATCAGCACACAAGACTCACGCAATCCTTCACTACACTCTATCAGCACGGGAAAGTCTCCTACACAAAGTGCCAAAACAGGGATCACTTCGGTTGGCTCACAAAATTCATCCGGATATGAGTACAGTGCACCAACCTCCGCTGGTAGTGTGCCTTCGCCCAATGGTTACGGTCATTTCCCTCCAAACTACTCCTTCCAACCTCAATCCGGTAGCCACTCATACCCTCCTGCTCACTACGATAACCGTTCATACATGGGTGCACCGCGTGTGGAAGAAGTCAAGGGTGGATTTGTGGGTCGACCAGGTCCTCCCCATAGCGACACTGGAAAACGGCATCTGGACGTCTATGATGTAGAGACATCTTTGAATGAGGTATGAAATTTCCTTCCCCCCCCCCCCCCACCCCCTTTTTTTTCCTCCAAAGATCGCATGATCGGTATTTCTCTTTTTTGAACGCATTGGACAAAACTTAAACATCAAATCTCTTGATCGTACAAATAGACTGACGTGGTGGAACAGATCGCCGAATTAAGTACGCGAACCCTTGACTTTTCACGGCACTACGCGGCTCGCGCACATCAGACACAGCGATCTGGCCCACTACTAGGGTCCCTCCCCTCGCTAAATGAGGTGGAGGACATGCTTCATATGCAACGGCGGAACCAAGATGCTCTAATTCGGATACGCACGGCCGTGGTGAACCAGGAACAGGCTCTCGCCGAACAGATGGCGCAGCGAAAGGCGTTCAAAACCGAAGATGATCACATGGCCATGTACCAAGAGGACTTTAAAGGCACGGGTGGGTTTGCAGGTGCAGATCCAAAGAAAAGGCGCGGAGTACGTTCTAGACTTCTCCTTTCCCCTGGGTTGACAAGGTGGTCGAGAGTGGTTGACATCTCGTTCACCCTCCATGCCATGAATGTGTTTGGCTAACTCCGATTTGCAGAAAGCAGCCCCTCCTGGTCGTTGCCATAGCTGTAACCGAGCCGAGACACCAGAATGGCGTCGGGGTCCAGATGGCGCCCGGACGTTGTGTAACGCCTGTGGTCTACATTACGCCAAACTGACTCGCAAAATGGGCGCTCACAAGGCAGCGAGCCTGGGTTCGAATCTCAAACCCAAGTCGGTTCTCGACTCCGCTTCGCCGACCAGCCATTAAGCTTCTTTTTTTCATGTGGCGTTGGGGAGAAAAAAAAGGTGGGAAATAGAGGGCGATGGGAGTTTACTGGCCATTTTCTTTGGGACTTTCTGCGATCTTTCCCTATTCGGCTTCTCTTTTTGCTGGTTTAATGTCTTCCCTTTGTGATCTTTTCTTTGAAGGACTCTTCCTCGTTGCTCTTATATAATACCCCCCCCACCAAACAGCTTCCAAGGTATTGGGAGAAACACGGCTTTTAGCATAGATATCCCCCTTGGATGATTCAATAGCCTTTGATCTGATCTGAAACTGGTTTTTGGTTTCCCTAACCTCTTCTTCCTTTCTCGCTGGTCCCCTCTCTCAGTACCGTTATCGGTTTATACCCTGCATTGTTTTGTTCCCTGAACTCTTCTGTTCGAGTATGACCTTGATATGATGTACGATCCGTGTCTCAGCGTTTCCCTTTTTTTTTTATTCCTTTTTGTTTTCCTAGTCGACATTTGATCTTCAATTTTTAAGGTCTCATGACACCTTGGGGGTGTGGATATCCCCGGAATTGTTTTGCGGGAAAGGCACCAATTGCACATTCAAACCTCACATCCCTAAATCCTGTTGCCACATATCGTTTCGGCCGTAAGTCTCGGCACCGAAGATAGTTCCAGGCTTTGTTTTTTTAATTATAGCTTTTGCGTATGCCTCTATGGCATGATCTCGCCTATTTTGATTTGAGTTGCAGTTCATCTAATCATGGGCTTGAACACATGCATTGTGATGAAAAAAAAAAGTTATGGCATGATCCCTCGGCTTTTTTTTTTCAATTTGTTTTTTTGAAAGGCCTGATTCGCTCTACCTTACCTACTATGTTGTGCGTGCAGGGGCTAATGCATGAGAAACAAACATCACAGGAAGATTTGTCTCATTTGGTTAATTTACTGGGTCGAAGCAAGTTTCAGATCTATAGTCTTCCCACTCGATTGTTGAAATTGGATCGAGAGATCCCTTCCAAAGAGAGATCCTCTACTTCGTCATAACAAACAGACAAGCAGATCATCCAGTCTCGAAGGTGACCGATTCGAGATAGATGATTTGCCAGTATTGGAAAATCAGATCCGATCGGTTGGGATCGGGATCGGGCATGAGATCTCACATGAGATTGAGATTAGATGCAGATTAAATATGGAGTGTATCTCCATCCTCCTAAGTACATATTCTACTGCATAATGCACATCTATAGGTATACAGGCAAGAGTGCAAGTGCCTATACGGAATACTACAATGGAACATATCTGTATCATATCTACTCCTACGATCCTACATACAACATAGTAACCTTCTTCCCTCCGTACAGACCGCCACAGTCTGCTAGAAGGCACTCCTTTCGGAATGTGCATACGTGATAGATGGAAAAAAAAAACAAACGCCGCTCACGATTTATCATTGTCAAGATTGACAGCTTAGTTCGTGAGCCCGCATGGCCAAGTTCGAACGAACCGATCGCATCTGCAAGTGTATTCCAATGGGTTGGACCATCCTCTGTTCAGGCCTAAACTCACTATACTCACTTCGGAAGTAGTTCCTATATGATACGTAAAAGTAGTAGAATTTTGGGGGTTCTTTGTTTCTGTTCCCCCCCTCCCCCTTTTTTTTCTAGATCAAAGGGGGTTTGAGGGTCAAGAAAAAGAGCTAGTTGGGTAACATCGAATAGATCGAGATCCCTCAGATCCCACGTTCGCGTCTCCCGGGATCCACGCGCCATACCCTGAACGAACCTTTGTTTCTTAATTTTTTTTTTGGTCTCCTGCACGTTTTCCAATAGATCGGGGATTGAACTGGGACAAAAATAAAACCCGCCCCAAGGCCAAACGGGGCAAAAAGCTATATCCCATGTCGATTCCATTTTGGGGCTGACTCCACGAGTCTTACCCTAGTGGACACCTGGGGCAGCCAATTGACATTTCTCCGTACGAGATGGCACACATTGGGACTCGAATCGATTTTTCTGGAAGTTGTCATTTTTTCACCTTGAATCGCCCCAAGTCCTGAGACGCCGCGGAGAAAGTCATCTCCATGGTCAGTTTCATACGCTGTTTCTAAGGGTTCTCTTTAGTTCTAGGCGGGTTCCGGACGGTACAGACTTAAGTGGTACCATAACTCTTCTGTGGTGCTTCGGATCCTACGGTTTTCCGTGAATAATCTCCATATCGTACCGGAGGATCATAAAGAAGGGAAATAAAAGGGCTAGCAAACGTGGATGTATCCATTCGCGGCGCTTGGCGAATACTGCCGAAGTCCAGACGGTGGAAAAATCCCAAAAAAAAAAAAATACGTCCTCCGTCCTCCCGGAGTACGGAGTACATACGGAATACATGCGGAGTACGGAGAAAGAATATCCTATAGATGAAGCCATCTGCACGGACTATCAAAAATTTCTGCGCGGACGTGCTCCGATCGCCCTTTTGGCGATCCCGACCTACATAGCACAGAGCATGTATTAGAGGAATAGACCTTCGCTGTTGATCATCTACAGGCCTGTGCTGGGCCCACAAGCCTTGGATCGGTGGCCGACACAAAACTCTATCTTGTTGTGAGATGCAGATCGTATCCAATAGTTGGCTGCAGCGAACTGCAAACTGTCCGTTGTGGGGGTTGCGACAGCGACGGCGCCGGCGCCGGCGACGACGATGGTGGTTTCTCCCTGCTGTCAGAACTTTGCTTGGAATACTCCGTAGATATCGGTGCATCCCTGTGAAGGTCCACGCGACCTAAATTCTGTGGCAGATTCTACGGAGCTAAAAAAAAATAGCGCACAGTGGCAGATTGGTCTTTCAATCTGGCTCTCGAGCCTCCCGCGCCATGCCGAGTTGGGGGGTGGGGGGGGGGAGAGCTGGAGTGGAGTGTAAGGTTCTAGCTCTTTGAGTCTTCTTTGAGTCTTCTTCTGTCTTCTCTGCCGTGGCTGGTTGTAGCCTACTCCGTAAGGAGCATCGTAGCGTGCTATTACTTGGGTGGTAGACGGACCCCGGGAGTACAATCTGCAAATATCGACACTCGAAATCGGCCGTGGACGATGTACCGGATTAACGAACGTGCATTGGTACATCTGTAGTGGACAGAGGATGCAAGTGGAAAATGTTATCGCATTGTTATGGATTTTTCGGAAACCAGATATTACCTTGCAAACTGCAGCGGATCTATCCGAAACAGCCTACAACAGATATAGGTCCAGATTCCGTACTGCCAAGTCAATGCAATATATACTCACCGAAATCCAAACCATTATAGAAACCTGATTGACCCTGGATTAATCAACCGGATTCTGATTGGATGGAGGCAGCCCCCGGTCCAATTCGTTCTTTGCCGTTTGATGCTCCTACGTTCCCGGGTGAGACCCATGAATCTCCATGACTCCATGCAATGAAGTGGCCGAAGATACTCGTTTCGGTGAAAAGTCTATGTGGTTGAGACCACTTGTGTAGTATCGTGTGGGACGATGGGTGGAGACGAATTACCCGACTGGGACGATTGATTTGAATCTTGGCTCACTCTCTTTGACTTTTTGCTGATCTGTATGTGTATGATAGAAACAACAGTACTCCGTGCTTCGTACTTCGTACAACGTACGGCTTGGGTAGACATGCAGAGAGATCTATACCATGTTATCAGTATACTCCGTTGCCAGCTGTACAAAGCTTTTCAATAGTTCAAGTCTGCATGCACCCCCAGATCGAGCGAACAGCTGCATCTGCCCGAAATCTCCCGGGTGATGGCTTGCAGGAGGATGCATCCCCTGTGTTTATTTGGGTTTGGCCAGGCTGTATTAGAAAATGGAGGCTTCGTTGTATTTTTTTTTTTTTTAAAAAAAAAAAAAAAAAATAAAACAACAACAACAAACACTGGTCGTGCATGAAAGTTTCAAATCGTAGGATTTCAGCCCCGCCCCGATCCTCACGATGCAGTCCTCGGGTGCAGGAGATCCTGACTCAATGCAAGCACCCCGCCTGAAATCGGAGATCGGCTCCAAGGCAAGTGCCGTGACGGAATTTGGGGCGGCTAGCTTTGGAATGTATGATGCACAACTGGTGCCCGCCATGAACCAAAAAAAAAGGCTGGGCCCAGGTGTTTGTTTGTGTTTGAAGTGAATTTGTAAGCGGGGGCCATATCGCAGGTCTGATCCATTCTTGAAATGCTCATTCTCCATCCAAGTCCGGTGAGTCTCTTACATGTATAGCCAATGCAAATCAGAATTGCTAGTTCATGTATTCGTGGTGGAGACGGCAGGGTTTATCGAATCTACAACATAGATTTGCTTTTAAAAGGGGATCCGCGCGATCAGCGCCTAAAGCGGGACATCTAGACGAAGGTGGGAGCACACCTTTTGTGGATGGACATCTTACGACCCACGACCAATGCTTGTCCGTCGATTTGTGCTCCGTACATACAACACAATTGTTCTCAATGCGGATCGACGGAGTGAGACATCTGATGGGTCTGGAAAGGTAAATGGACAAGATTTAATCCTTCGGGGACTCGGAAGAAGGTAACCCATGGTTCCAGAATACGAGTTCTGCAAGTAGGATCTTGTATGTTGTAATTGAGTGCCAAAAGAACCTCGAGATCTGCAGTTTGGTTGAGCCTTAACTAAAGCCAAAATTGCCAAGGCAATCCTTCTTTAAGCTGCATTTGACCTTGATTGACCTGAAGAGAAAGAGAGAGAGAGAGTTCCTGATCTGGTTTCTTGGCACAATTTGGCTTCGACTCGGGCAGGTGATGTAATCTTCGCGTGGCCAGTGGATTTGGTGCGATCCATGGTTGGACGGGTGGGTGGAATTTCTTTAATGCGGACCAGAATCTCGGTTCCGATTTGTATGTATTTGTACAACATAAGTTTCAACACTGTATTTTCTAGAATCACTGCAACCACATCTCCTACCGCCAAAAGGCCCGCGCAACCGAGTTGATAAAGTCGATCCCGTCTTTGCGCCATGTATCAGCCTCCATATAACTCGTAGTATTGGCATCGAGACAGAGATCAACGGGCTTGTTCGTGGAATAAGAATCCCAATGCACAGGGCTCTGCACTACACCCGGGTTGGGATCGAGGTCGTGGATAAAAGATGCCCACATGCTCGCCATCATAGAACTGAGGTCAAGGTACGACTGTGGCACCCCATCAAATGGTTTGCCATAGTGATATCCCAGTCCGGCAATGTTGTGGAACACAAATGCCACCTCCTCGAAATGATTCACACCCGAAAGGAGGGGCACAGCTGCCGAGTGCACGTTGAACCGGTAGCAGTATGCTGGGGTTGACGTTTCGGCCCATACTTCGCATTGTCGCCGGCGATTGGCATGCATGAAGTGGTCACCCGCGAAGGCTGAGGTGCGGCGCCATTGCTGACCGTTTGAAGGCACGCGCTGGTCTCCGAGAAAGGCGGGAATGCCTTGCGATGGGTCATCCGGGTAAAGTTCGAGGATGCGCTTGGCTACAGAGGGGGGTGTCTGGAAGTTAAATCCACCGTCTGAATGGGTTAGCTGCTGAGTTCGTAGCGTGGAAGTTTTTGGATACACACCGGTCAAATATTGATACCACTGCTCTGTGGTGTTGATGCCTCTAGGCCCAAACGCTGTTCCTTCATCCGTGTTGGTGCCGGCAAGGATAGGAACTTTCACAAATGCATGCTTATTCAGTTGATAACTACCCCAGTTCTGAATCAAGTCCCCGTCCACGACAGGGGAAAAGTTATAATCAGACTCGCCCTCCGTAACGTTTAGAGCGGCGTTGAGCGTCTCAAACGGTACTTCACGAAGGCACTGCAGTGAATCCACGACGTCTGAGCAGCCTACCTTGGCGGCCAACGAGTTGTACTTTGATTGGAACGTCGTATAGTTGGACGGACTGGAAGCTATCGACCCCCCAGACTGCAGAATGCCAGCCCGAAACAGCTTGTCATCGCGTCCGTTGTATGCTGTAAGGTGATATCCCACTGACATGGCACCTGCCGACTCGCCCCATATGGTGACTTTCTTAGGGTCGCCGCCAAAGGCGCCGATGTTTTCCTGGACCCATTGAAGCGCCAGCCTCTGATCTCTCAATCCAAGATTGGTGTTTCCGCTGCCGGAGACTTGACTGGAACTTATAAAGCCCCATGCGGACAGTCTATAGTTCAGCGTGACAGCGATGAACGGCTTGCCTTTTATCCGAGTTAGACCGGACTTTCAAGCATCCTAAAAGAGGGCAAAAATCCCTACCAATTCGATACGAGTTGTCTACAATCGCAGACATGTTGTAACGCTCATCAGCCCCAGAGCCTTGAGAAAATCCACCGCCATGAATCCACACTCCAACAGGAAGTTTCGAGTCTTTGTTGGCAGAAGAGCCCCGGATTACGTTGAGGGTAAGACATGCTTCTGACTGAGGGTACCAAATCGAATCCGTCTAATTTTCACATTGGTCAGAATAGTCAGAATAATCTTGGGGGGGGGGAGGGGAGGGGGGTGGAAGAAATTGACTAAAAGAGTTGTACTTACGCCATATCCAACACAAATATCCGAGTACTGTGTGGCATTGCGTGTAGCATCCCAGCTGGCATTCAAAGACTGCGGTACAGTAAAGCGCAGATTTCCTACTGGCTGCTGGGCATAAGGCATGCCTAGAAAGAAATCCTGGTTGTAGGTTGAGCTTCGCACTCCAGTATAGGTTCCATTGCGCACTGCCGCTGTGGGAGATGACTGTGTCGGGACAGCATGGACTGCTGTCCATAGTAGAAAGCTGGTTACCAATCCAATCATAATGAGATAAAGGAAAACACTCTTGTCCGCTATCGTCTTGTCCTTATGAGTCGGTTTGGTTCCTTTTATAGCATAAATGTTTCCATCACCGAAAGTCCGAGGACATCCGGGTTGCAGGAAGGCCCCATCGCCCAAATAGTTTGTGATTGACATTCCGGAGATGTGAACGGCAGATATGAGTTCCGGTCGTGGAGCAGAAACAGCATAGCGAAGTCGGAATAATAGACATTTGGAGTAGAGTTCGTGATGCCAAGAAGTGGAGGTGGGATGTCAGTCGGTTCACCCAATGCCCCTTCTTGATTTTCCGGGGTAATCAGTTTCATCACCAGCTTCCCCAAACTTTGACGGACGATTGTCTGCTTTGGTCGTAACCCATATTAAACATTCCGACGATTAGCCGAAACTTTTCTGCTGAGCCAAGTCTTCAGATTTGGAGATCTGTTGACATGTAGACATGTAGACATGTAGATTTGAAGATTCGTAGATTCGCACATTCGTACATTCGCAAGAGAGAATTAGGGCCAGGTAACCCAGTACTCATAGTAACACCTTGAATCAAGTTGAACTAGGAACATTGTAGAATGAAAGAGGTCGTGTGATATATGACGTACGGCGGGGTTTCTGACATCCAAATAAAGTTCGACGGAATGTAACCGACTGAGACCGACATTGTAACGGTGGCTGTGATGAGACATAGGCAATGGTTTGCTCCTGGAAAGCTCGGATGTAAATATACAACATACACGAGAATTTGACACCTAAATTCCCATCAGCAATATGGTCATTACCAAATCGCTCCCGTACCGGGGTCCGACTAGAATCCGAAGAGACTGCCTCCATTATCGCAGTCACGCAAGGTTTTCTCGCAGCACTGAGCGCCAAGTCGCGCGCTGATTTCGAGAAACACTGTGTCCGAGTAGGAGGAATCACACTTTCCCCTCCGACTTCACTGCGCTTCTGTACGATTGGTTCGTTTGTTGAACATGTCGCCGGGCTCAAGGATGATATTAATGAGCGTATCTGGGATCCTGAGGTGAAGGTGCATGAGGCAGGAAGCCTGAACTTGGCCGCTGTGTGGGCCCCATTTCGGGCAAAGATCAATGGCGTTGTGGATCAAGTTGGTGTTGAATAATTTATTTTGCATAGACTCAACGGCGAGTAAAAGATGACTGGGCTGGCGGATATGTGTCGACTGCCGACTGAAGAGGAAATGCTGATGGAATGAGTACTTTGGAGAGGCTTGGAAAAAATGAAAAAAAAAAAAAAATACAAGGCTCATCAGATGCTGTGACAAGAAGGGCGGCCTCCATTTGTCATGAATATGTGCAAATTATTTCAGTTTCTGCTATACATGCTCACACTCTGGATATCTAGTTGTGTGTGGGAGTATGTTGATACCTCTGATCTAGACCGTTTTGCCTCGAAGAAGTTCCCATCCGACTGATCCCTTTTTGCCTTCTTTGACAGTCATCTCCTCAACGGCCTTCACTAGATCGTAGGTAATCTCCTCAGACACAACACTGTCCTGCTTATAACTAGGATGCTTGGCTACAAACTCACGCATCCATCGAGCCCCAGTCCAAAGAGTTCCATTGGCTCGCTTCCGGATCAAATCAAGATAGCTGGCCAGGAAACATCTTGTCTCGACGTCAACGTTGATGCTGTTGAGGTAGGACTCCACGAGTGGGATGAGACCCGGGAATGATCCGTCTGCGCATCCATTGACAATGTCGTCGATGGTCATGAGATCAAACTCTGTCTCGACGGGACCAAGAGGAGGTGACGGAGGGGGAGTGTTTATAGCTGACGACGCCGTAGACGAGAAGGTGCTGCTGTTCGTCGATTGCTGTGCGCTTCTAGGGACCCTAGAAGGGAAGGGGTCCTTGCGGAACCAAAACTTCCGGTCAAGAACAGCATTGCGAGCATGCGCTGTCTCCATGTTGTCTGTAGTACGCTGAATCGGGATGTAGAAGTTGAGATCGAAGCTCAGAATGGCACGGGTGATGAGGACGATGAAAATGCTAAACGCAGCGTTCTCGAAATCCGTGATTTGGATCTCCATGGACCGGAACTCAACTCTCCAGCCAATATCATCTTTATCAGGTGGTGGCGGCTTGAAGCGCATGTGCTGCCAATTAGTGGATTGTAAATTCTCAAAGTGATCACTCTTGTTGAGATCAAGTTCTTCGAGATCCTCAGAGAAAATGACCAAGGGATCACGAATGAACAAGTGTGCGAAATGCGTCGCAAGTAGGTCATCCATTCCCCCGTCCATAAGACGTTTCTTAATATCCTCATCAACAACTAGATCAGGATCGAAGTATTCTTTCCGGAGACGAGGATCCTGAGAGATGTAAGTCGAATTAGAGGCATATCGTGACTTGGGAATTCTCCATCGGTCATTCTTGAGAGGCTGCGAGAGGTTAGTCCTGCGAGCCAAGCGTATTAATCCAGAAAACTAACAGCTTCGCCAATTTCCTCGAGTGTCCTGTCATCGACTGCATTGCCAATTTGATTCCATCGCACATCTGTGTCCACGAGGAAACCTTTATAGATGGGTGTAGCGGCGGTCAGGGCCAGAAGAATGGGCCCCAAAGGACTTAGTTGATCATAAAGCCTTCTGCCTTCTGTCATGTTCTTTGCTTGAAAGGTGATCTGCAAGCAACAGCTGCCCATTCCGAATGCCATGGCGTCCATGTAAACATGATCATCTTTAGCTGCGCCGTTGCGGACGTCGTCATCCTCTGGCCAATTATGAAGGTCGTAGTTAACGGTTGGATCCTTGAATGGCCTGGGCGTATGGATGTCGTGGAAAACAGGTACATTCAATTCGACCTTGCGACCTCTTCGGGATCGAATGTTGGCGGCCAGAGTGGGGAATCGGATATGGGGGTTGGCAATCTCATCAGGAACAAACTGCGAGCGGAGGGCTGGCCCAGACGGAGGATAGTATGGCTGGATGTAGTCATCGTTGGTTCCCAGCCGAGGGAAGGTTGTCAAGGTGATAGGGACTTCATTTGGAGCCATGTGTGCTTTTGCAACTTCTCGTCTTGGGGTCTTTTAGCGTGTTTTAGGTCAAGCTGTGTTGCTGAAAGAGCTCACCTCCACTTCATGTTGGACTCCACCTTGAGTAGGTCTTTAAACCCGATCCCCCAAGGTTGTCCAGGAGTAGCCTCCAACATGAACCTTCCAAATTCGGGGTGGAAATGAGGCGGCTCCTCCCCGACGCTGGCTGTTATCAGATATACTAGTTCCTGTTGGACATCAAATCACACTCACTGGTCCCCAGTTTGGCTGCCCTTTCCGGAACCAGACTTCCACAACTCCTCGTCTCTTGCAAGTGATTTCAGGATCTCAGCCTGGGCTAGAGATAGCCGTGATTTCTTCGCCGCATCGTCGAGAGCTACCACAAGGTATTCAACCTATTATAAAGGACGTGAATAAGCGATTGTGACCGGAAAACACTATGCGGACCAGAACAACATACCTCGTCGCCCCAAAGGAGAGCATCACGTTCTTTGCCTCGTGCCCTGCGCCAATTGGCAAGTAATTGCTATTCAAGTCAGACACCTCGAGGTTGTTTCGTTACCGATCTAGATGAATCGAACATAAGCGGCATACCTCAATACCCCACTGGCGCACCTGGCCCGCCTTTGTCTTGGCTTCCGGCCATTCCAGCGCTGTTCCAAGTGCTCTGCTTGAAATTAGAGGGGTCCCGAACAACAAATCAAACCTCCCATGACACATACAGAAGTCCCATTGTGTCGAAGACGTATGTCTCAGGCTAGCGAACACAAAATGCCCAGGCACAAGTATAGGGTAAAAGAATCAAGACACTCCTAGAGTGAATAGGAAGGCTGAAAGTCGAAGAACTGAGAGTAATCAAAGAGATCTAGACCTGTACATAGGTCCCTTTCTAATTGATTCTCTGCAATTCCTGGCAAATGACAATGAGAGGGGTCAATTTTTCGGAGGGCCGGCCGATTTTCTAGCGGGGGCGGCGATAACGGCGGGAGTTTGATTTCCTACCTGCCCAACTGGGAAACCTTGGTATTATTAATCATAATTTGTCACCAGCCCTTCGGTGATGCTCTGGAGACTTCCAAGGTTTTTCAACGAAGACTTTCATGTAGATTTTCATCTGACTAAATTTGGGAAATACTGAACATGGAGTGTCCTCGTGCAGAAAGAGATTGAGGTGAGATAGTGGCGAAATAAGACCCTGCACTTGCATCTTCAAGGATCACCATAGGAGCATATGTCATAGGCCCGAGCGATGTCTACATGTAGGTACGGAGTGCAGATAACTATGTTAGCCAGTAATTAGTGTCAAAACAAACCTGGATAATGTTCAATTCAATCAGTAAGCTAGACTATAGAGATGCTACCTGCAGGATAGGTAGGAAGTAGGTGTCTAAATTTAAAGTCTCAAGAGCATGAAAGATATCAAAAGCATAAGGGGCGGGCCTTAGCGACATGATTCAATGACGACAGCATCAACTATGTATGACACTAAGCATCAAATCTGCAGGTATCACGTTATAATGCAATATTACATGAGGTATTCATGAGATATTTGTCCAAGGAGAATTGTCTGAGCAGCTTCTCACCAAGCGCTATTTTCGTTTACCTAGTCTTGGGGCTTGTTCATGCATCCAAGCGTTCAATTATCATAGTAACATACCTACTATAACTGGAGTAACATCATCCATACCACCAACCGGCAGCACTACAGCCAATAGAACCTGCAGCTTACTCTTACAAAGCCGCAAACGATCATTTGATGCAGGAGTAGGTGGTGTCTAACTAGGCAACATGCTTTGGTCATAGATTAAGAGGTTTACCTAAGTAAGTATTGGGGAGATCTATACAAGAAGCAGCCCGAATGAGCCTCACGAGGCTTACATTTGGTAGGCTGTGACAATGCGCGATTGCGCAGAGAAAAGCAGTGCGGTCCAAGTTCGCCGAAGGAATTTGAAAACCCTAGTTTCTACATGAGCAAGAAACTACGAGGAATACACAAGTCAAACTGTTAGCGCTGTTTAGCTCTTTTTGGAGATAAGGCGTCTACGATACGATCTACATACACGCGCTCAAGCTATGCCAAATGATACTTTTCGATGGACACATGCTTGGCCCGAAAAGCTATGAGAAACATGCTGGGGATTGATCTAGCCAATGTCAACAGAGCCTCAAGTTGCGGATGCAATTGTTGTTCTTACAGGTGAAGAAAAAAATGGCCGATTTTGATGAAAGGTCCAAACGCCAAAAGGCAATCCATAAGCAGTTTCGGTGTATCTATTATTTACATATCCTGCTGCTTTAGCAGCAGCACCGACCGTGCATACCAACAGTCCCACAATTCAGTTGCTCCGGGCGCCATCCTTGGCGGCACGCAGCTCGTCCATCTTGGCCACACGCTTCTTGAACTCCTCGTACTGGCACTTCTCGTATGAGTGTCGCTCATTCTGGAGGGGAAAGAAGAGAATGACATTAGCCGACTAGCTCTAGAAAGCGCTCTGGTTGAATCGGATTGGGCTGGAACATCAAAACGAGGGACCTCGTACCTCGCACTTCCAGGGAAGGTAGTACTCCGCTTGTCGGCATCGATTCAACGGAATCAGCAGGTGTGCGCATGAATCTCTGTACTGCATAGGAAGACGGGCTTCCGACATCTCCTGGCGTGTTGCTGGAATCTGATTAACCTTCCTGCTGGAGTTTCAATCATTGATCAATGGCTTTATAATCTTACCGGAAGTCTCCGAGAGACCGACGGCACTCTTAACCGTTTCAATGACAGTCATTTTATCGATTGTTGAGGGGTGGAAAGGTAAGGAGCGGGGAAACAAAGGCAGGACGGCGTGGTTGGCGATTCCCGCTCGTTTGAGGTTCCTGCTGGCCCGATACCAGAAGGTCACATGATAACTAAATCACATGACGTTGTACCGAAACAGGACTAGTGCGCACTTTACGCGTCCAGCGCGTATCTGGGATGCCACCCCAGCTCCACCGAATAGCATCTCTTTGTTCTCGGTCCGGATTTTTATCGCGTGCAATGCATCGAGTCCCGAAGACTTCTTGCGCCGATCAACTTGTGGATCTTCTAGGGGTGACGTTTCGGCTTCAACGTGCGTGGGTGCCATATTGCTCTTCGGGAACCTACTGAATTGCAGCGGCCAACGGCGACGCACATTATGGCGGGGATGGACACCATTTACTCTGCTACCTATAGCAGTGTAAGTATGCTTTAAATGGAAAATCTTCACTTCCCCGGCGTGGGATTGTATCCTGTATTGAATGCGAGCACAACTGATGTTCTCACTCCCAGGTCCCCGTGTACGAGTTCAAGCTCGACACTGACAGTGTCATGAGAAGGCGAGCGGATGATTGGGTCAATGCAACACACATCCTTAAAGCCGCAGGGTTTGATAAGCCTGCACGAACGCGCATCCTCGAACGAGAGGTCCAGAAGGGGGTACATGAGAAAGTCCAGGGGGGTTATGGCAAATATCAGGGTATGTCTTGGGATCCATAAGACCTGAAGAGAAACTTCAGCTTACTGACAGATGATGCTCACAGGAACATGGATCCCACTTCCGGAAGGCCGCCAGCTTGCGGAACGCAACAACATCCTTACCAAACTAGCCCCGATTTTCGATTATGTTGCCGGAGATCACAGTCCACCACCGGCGCCAAAGCACACATCAGCTCCATCTAAACCCCGAGCACCGAGGAAATCGGCTGCCGCAAACCGTGCTGCTGCCACCGCTGCAGCGGCCGCAGCGGTAGCAGCTTCAGAGTCCCTGAAAGTTGTCCAACCCCAGCGCAGCATGGGTCCTCCAACCATTCCACAAGATCATTATGACATGAATGCAGGGTTCGATGATAATGAGTCAATCGGTCACGCTACAATTGAATCATCATCAATGGTCGCAGACGAGGATATACTTCAAATGTCACACGGCGGACGGAAGCGGAAGCGTGGGGTGGATGAGGCAACCGCTATGTCCATCAGCGAGCAAGAACACATAATATACGGCGATCAGCTTCTAGACTATTTTATGACCGTGGGTGATGCACCAGAGGCAACACGCATTTCTCCTCCCGAACCACCTGCTCATTTCCAAGTCGATCGAGCCATTGATGATTCGAGGAACACAGCACTCCACTGGGCATGTGCGATGGGTGACTTGGGAATTGTGCAAGATCTTCTGCAGAAAGGAGCTAATGTCAAGGCACTTTCGGAGCATGAAGAGACCCCACTTGTCCGAGCTGTTCTGTTTACCAATAACTACGAGAAGAGAACGTTCCCGGCTCTCTTAGATATGCTTCTGGATACTGTCTCTTTTCGAGACTGGTTCGGTGCCACTATCTTCCATCACATTGCAGAGAATACTCGAAGCAAGGGAAAGTGGAAGAGCTCACGTTATTATTGTGAAATACTCCTCGATAAGTTATGCAAGACATGCTCACAAGATGAGATACAAATGTTGTTGTCATGTCAGGATCAGAATGGAGACACCGCTGTCTTGGTTGCTGCTCGAAACGGCGCGTTTCGCCTGGTGAACATCCTTCTCGTGCATTGTCACCGCGCTGGTGATCTGGTGAATAATAAGGGGGAAACCGCTAGCAGTATTGCACTACGTTCTCAACATCATGAGCAGGACATTCCGCCGGCCCCATCTTCCGTCACTATGGATGCAGACGCAGCTGGTCTTGTGGGCACGGATCGACAGTCCGTTGCTCCCATCCCGGATGCCCCTGCGACCTCTGAGCTCCTCTCCAAGATTGGAACAATCATGGTCGAGGCTAATAAAAAGCTTGCCGTGACCTATGGAAACTCAAAGATCAACCAGCAAGATTCCAATGATGTCGCCAATCCCGAAGCGTTACACGAGCAATTGGAATCCGACCGCCAGAAGATTCAAAAGCAACTCTCTGCACTGGCGGCTAAGGAGGCCGAGCATGAGCGTAATGATGACCAAGCTGGTCGATATGAAAAATTGCGGGCAAGCTACGAGTCCCTTCTTGAGCAAATCCAGCATGCTCGACTGGCTGAACAGTTTGCTAATACAGAGGTACCTAAACCTACGCCCGCGTCACTTGAGCAAGATGAATTAATGGCTCGGTATCGACTCGCCCAAGAGCTCAACTCTGCGCAGAAGATACGTCGCAATGCCATTACGGATTTAGCGCAACAAACTGCGGATGCGGGTGTGAGCACCAAGTTCGATATGCACCGTAAGCTGGTTGCTTTGGCGACCGGGCTCAAAGAAGAAGATCTGGACCCTATGGCTGCGGAGTTGGCTGAAACGCTGGAATTTGACCGAATGAATGGCAAGGGCGCCACTCCAGAATTAGGTCATGGACGCTTACCATCCCGGAATGAGTCGGCCACTCTCCCCGGAACTGGTGTCCAAGTGGATGCTTAAGTACCTCGAGGTCGCACCATGGACTCGATGTTTGATAATATCTCACGACTCATTGATTTTCTTCCTCTGGCACACCATCTCAGCCAGCAGATACCCCGCATCTTCATCCTTTTTCTCTTCTTCTTCACATCCATTGTTTTGTCTTTTCTTCATGTTCTGTCCTCATGGCTCGTCAACAACTCATCTGGTTGTGATTTTGGGTCTCATTCCATCTGACTAGCATTATGGCCTACAAGCAGACAGTACAGACACAGGCTGTATAACTCTTATTTCATATGTGTCTGTACAGACCATAAGAGTGCTTGTGCATTGTACATACAACATGGGGGTAGCGGTCCCCGAACGGACGAGATGCGAAATACCAACCCAGGAGGGGCACATCTGTACGTTATACATGTTATGATTCATTTAGGGCGACAAGAGGCCTGGTCAGTACCAGCTTTGCGTGTAATTCTACATTTGATAACCCATACCTTCTTGAATCGTTGTAGATCATCATAATCACGCTAGCCCCTGCCACGATCTCACTGGGCAGTTTCTTGGTCTGTGTGATCCTCCCTGGTCATAGCACCGGGGGGGATCTTAACCTTTTCGGTCTATGATCCCTGAAAGATGCAACAACGCAGGCCCATTGTTATCTTCGCGCATTTTACATAGCACAGCCGATTCTTTGGCCGACCAAAAAGTTTAGTAGTTGCTAATGAAAAAGATCATACTCTACTAGAACCATGCATCCACGCCTTGGTTCATAAGCGAACGTGGGAGGTATCCTCATCTCAACTAGCCGTCAAGATTTATTGTTGTCCACAAAGTACTTGATATGCCACTTGTCGCTGATCGGACTTGCATGCCCACCTGGACAACCATTTTCTAATTTCCGCAACTTCTTGCCAAAGAAAACGTAGTTTTGGGGGGACATGGCGGCAAGCACCAGAGCCTTTATCTACTTGTTTCATGATTCAGGGGAAGGTGGTCTTGTCTACAATTTACACATGATTGTCACATCCAGTGTGTCACACGAGAACGGACACGATGAGAATCGAACTGGAGAGTCTACTTAGATTTCTACTCTGACCAATTTGGCAAATCATGTTCTATAATTTCCCTTGCCTTTCTTGGGTTTGCCTAAATTTCGTTGTTGTTTTGTTTCACTTCAAGCGCTGATTGCTTTAGATAGATCAAAAGTCGCCCAAGATCACTTACATGTCGTGATGCTACCCTCGTGATCATCTCATAGCTCAGGGGTAAAGGAGGCTATGAGGGAGCAAAGCCAGGGAACATTATAGAAACACGCTCGGGAGTGATAAAAAGCAGGAGAACAACGAATACTGGAAAGACACGCTAACATTAGATCCCAGAATTTATTGTCATCGCAGCGCATGCTTTAACAATGATCGTAGTGAGATCTGGTTGAGTTGTGAGCTAGAAGCAACCAAGTCCAGGCAAACCCATTGGCTGGCATTAGCATCAGCGACGAGCGGCTCTAGGGGCATTGTCAGGCGTAGATGGCAGCCACGTCGCGCCACCAGAGGCCACCAGCCAATAGATTGGCTAGGGATGTGATGGGTGATCAATACAGGTCTGGGTGTGTTGCTTATTGGTTGACAGGACGAGCCAGTCAGACCTCGAAATCTCCCCAATGGGTCTTGTTCCGTGATGCTGTCAGCTATGATCAGGCAGTAAGGCAGAATAATAGGATTTTCCCTAGAAGATAGGTAAACCTGAAAAAGCTTGAAAAGCCTCAATTCTGCCCACATAAGAGAAACAGAATAAAAGAAGATGTCAAAGTGAGCCTCCGTTGATATTCCATTGATTTTCCCTCTCAAAGCCGTTGTGCTTGGAGAGATGACACTAGTCCCCTTCTGGTCTGCTGTGTTGGGTCGCTGCCTCGAGGATCAGGCAGCAGTCCCCACCTAGGCCATCCACCATCTTCATCAATCTCTCTCTTCTTCTTTCACATCCAATCCTCCATCTAATCTTCGATTCTTTCTTTTCCTTCCCCTTCCCCTCTGCATTCCTTCTTTCTCTGCAGCTCTTCTCGTTTCATGGAAAATTCTCGAAAAAGCATCTATCCACTTTGCAAATAGTCCTGATTAGTCCCGCCCCCCTGAGGAAAAACGTTGTGTTTGGCCGAGAACCGAATTTACAGCTTTTTTTTTCTGATTTCCTGCAAAAGTTCATCTCTTCGGCCGGATTCCTGAAGTCGTTTTCGCCTCGGTTATTCGCACTGGGTTGTTTGGTCGCGAGCTTTAGTCTTCGATCTTCGGCACTGCGTGAACTACTCTCTTTTTTCTTATTCGGCTGGGATTTGCAGAGCATTTCCCCGGACATATTTATCTTTTCATCGTGGTCTTGCTTCGCGCCTGGCTTTT